TTTCTTCTCACCCTTGTGGAATTAGGGAGGGCCTCCCCGAACGACTTCCCTTGGGCTTAGCTATTTAGTTGATCTTAAAAGTGTCTTATACACTTTTCGCGAGTCTACTCTAGCGTTACTTCCTTTCAGACGGGGTACAGTGGGTTATCTGGAATAGGAGCAATAGGCGACTGCCCAGCTTGCCTTGGCGAAATCTGTCCGATCTTTTCTACCAAAGCTATTAGTATTTGTCGTTAGTCCTTGTAATAGCACTATTTGCTTTCAGGTAACTCAAGAAGACGAAGACATCGTATTGTTTGCTTTTTATTGTATTTTCTTTGAAATTTCATGTGTTTTCTTGTCTTTCTCTTACAGGTACTTTGTTTGTTACTTTATAAACTCTTATATTATGTAATTGTAACTTAGAATGATAGTTAAAATGTTTCTAAATTGATCTTTTGGCATAAATGTTCAAATTAAATTAAATGTGTATTAAAATCCATTTGGGTGGATAGGGTGGCTATAAGGGGAGATGCGGAGGCCACAGAGGGTTAGGGAGACTTTTTTCTACCTAATTTTGCATTTAAATAATAATGATATGACTGTTTATTTAGGGAATATGATGTTTTTTATTGTATTTGCTTTGAAATTTTATTGTATCTCTTACAGGTATTTTATTTTCAACTTTTATAAGTCGTTAAATTGTATTATATCTTAGACATTTTGTTTATGTTTATCTGTTGTTATTTGAAATAAATTTGTACTTTGTTATAATAAATGTAAATTGTATTTCTAAATAATAAATGTATTTTCATTGTATTATCATTCTTTGGTATTTAAATAAATCAATAAAGTATGCCTTTTTAATTTTATTCTCAGCCTTTAACAACAGTAAAGAATAAAATAGCACAAATACTGTAAAAAGAAAGGAATGTTTGTAAAAAGAGAACGGTATGTGTGTCAAGTTTTGAAAATAAGCAGAGCCATCGTGTGTTCAGGAGCTAAACAATTTGAAAGAAAGCTGAAGTTAATCCCGCGCTTTATTTTTGAACATGAAACAAGACCCGATTCAACTTATGCTCTCCTAATACAAATGTTGAAATTTATGAAAATTTTCAGTTTTGAGCCAAATACGAGGGTTAGTCGAAAAGTCATGGAAAATTCAAAAGTTGTTTTTTGAAAAAGACCCGATGCAACTTATATTTTATTATCATATTCTCTACTATTATGAGATTAAATTATTTACTTCTGAATATATTGTTATAATATATAGTGTAGTCTCCTATCTGTGAGTGTAGTCCTCTATGGTAGTTCTCATACCCTCATCACAGTATAAACTCTATTAGGTTTATACTGTGCCCTCATCCTCCGGAAGTGCATCAGATCATGATCAGACCCTTTGTAGATCTATTATCTATGATCAGATCTTAAGAATACTTGTAATAAGCTTGAAGTAATTTTTCTGCTCAAATCATATCAATTGACACCACCATAAAGCCATAAAGGCAAGCGACAACATTAATTAACGGTAATTAGACTTTTGTGAAAGAGAAAATCATTTATTTGTTTATTTACATATAATGTACGCGGACGTACTGCTTCTACACTTACAAAAATTTTTTACAAAAACTCACTTGGTTTTTATCAAATACGTATAAAAATACAGTTTTAAAGTTTACTAGTTGCACGTGAAAAATGTGATTAGTCATCAACAGCGACCATATGACCATGAACTGTGGCAGATTGGTGATATCTTCTTCGATATGCAAAGTCTTCATTGTCTTCGTTTAATTGTGTTGAGGTCACATTTAGACCAGGATGTGTTGGTGTTACTACAATTTGTTCATATTCAGTAACTCGTTTTCTAAAACACAATGGATTCTCAAAATCACGACTAAAATAAAGTACATTTAAAAAATTACCCGCAACATTTTAGTAATACGTTTTTTAACCACCTAAAAAAGTGAAAATCAGATGATATTCCAGGCTTTACTGCAGGATTTGCGGTTCCAATGTAAAGCCACACTAAAAAGACTGCTACAACGCATACTATAGCGTACGCCCAGTGAACGAGAAACATAATAACGCATTTAACTACTAACTGAAATAAAACGATGCTTAATTAGTATCTTAAAGTTTAACTAGTAGTATACCATAATTAAAATAAAAGACTAAGTATTTCTGTTCAGACGCCGAGAAATTATTATACATTAAGAAGGCATTCTGTTGTTTATCTAGTTTACCATTTTTATCGGAAAATACTAAACACAGCAAAATTTCGAAGTTGTAGAAGCTTAAGCAACTTACTATTAATTTTTAAAAAAATGTGTAGTTTATAAAATTAACTTAACTTTGGGAAGTAATATTGTTAATATACATACCCCAAAAAGTGAAAGCCATCGATTACATAAACAAGAATACCAATTTTTAGATTTTGAATGCACTTGCTGCTTAAAGGCAATTGGGGTTGTTTCACTATCATCTGTAGTACTAGTAGTAGAACAACTAACATCTTTCTATAAGAAAAATACGAATTAAACAACAACAATACTTTTATAGTACAATTAGTTAAATTTATAAATACCTGTATATTTCTATGTTGTACTCTTTCGGGAAATAAATTATCCAAATCATTTACATCCCCATTGAGTGACTCACTTCTACTTGACGATCTCATAGTTTTAGGGTTACAANCTGTTAATTATTTATCTCATGTAATAGTATAATACATAATATACATATATCGTATTTTATTAATAACAGTTTCTAAAGTGAACACAATTACAAAAACAGGAAAATAATTAACAGTTTACAGAGTAAAAAGAAAATACCTGTAAGAGAAAGAACACAAATCACATTTATATGCATTAGAAAATTTTATAGTACTTACGAACTGTTATATTACCATTTCAACACAAGATAAAGGAGAAAAGTCTCCCTAACCCTCTGTGGCCTCCGCATCTCCCCTTAGAGCCGCCCTATCCACCCAAATAAACAAATATTTAATTTAATTTTAACATTTATGCCGAAAGATCAATTTAGAAACATTTTAACTATCATTCTAAGTTACAATTACATAATATAACAGTTCATAAAGTAATAAACAAAATACCTGTATAAGAAAGACAAGATAACATATGAAATTTCAAAGAAAATACAATAAAAACTAAACTAGTTGTCTTCGTCTTCTTCGGTTACCTGAAAGCAAATAGTGCAATTACAAGGACTAACGACAAATACTAATAGTTTTGATAGAAAAGATCGGACAGATTTCGCCAAGGCAAGCTGGGCAGTCGCCTATTGCTCCTATTCCAGATAACCCACTGTACCCTGTCTGAAAGGAAGTAACGCTAGAGTAGACTCACGAAAAGTGTATAAGACACTTTTAAGATCAACTAAATAGCTAAGCCCAAGGGATTACTTTTATTTCTAATTTTTTATGTATTATCAGGGTTTGACCCGTAACTTGATTGATTAATAAATGCAAAATATAACGTATTTTACTGTAGCTATAGTTTGATCATTTTAAGCAAATTAATATGTTTTATATGCTTTAATTTATACGTAATGAAACCGGAAGATTTCTTACGTAAATCCTAAATAAACATTACTTCAAGTTACTTTACGTCAACCAACTCATCTGATTTAGGGATCTCAAACTGCATATTATGACAAGAATGTTAAATTTCTTCGAATTTCATACTTTGACAACGTAAATACACGGTTAAATAAAAAGAACACGACCAACAAAACAAAAATAGTCTAAACAATTATAAAAGCATTGATATTTACTTAACTTCACGATAATGTTAGCTTGTGGGCTTATCGCATTCCTATGGCATAATAAAATTCGACCAAACGGGCAAGAATTTGAATTTTTTAAACATTAAACGAATGAAATTAAGAAATTAGCTAATTGCAGTACAACATATTTCAGAAGTACCTTATTGTTTTTTATAAAATAAATGCATACCATCAAAATTTTCCTAGTATNATCTGTAGTACTAGTAGTAGAACAACTAACATCTTTCTATAAGAAAAATACGAATTAAACAACAACAATACTTTTATAGTACAATTAGTTAAATTTATAAATACCTGTATATTTCTATGTTGTACTCTTTCGGGAAATAAATTATCCAAATCATTTACATCCCCATTGAGTGACTCACTTCTACTTGACGATCTCATAGTTTTAGGGTTACAAAAACGTTGCTCTTTTTGATGTTGAATATCGAAAGTTTGCGCTAACGCAAAATAAGCGTAGTCTATACTGGCATAAGTGAGAAGAAATGGCATAGTTACAACTGGGGCCAATGTATTTATTTCTCCTATTAATATAAAAGTCAAAGTAACTGTGGCTGTTACAGCTAATGCATATAAAGGCACCTTATTTGGTCCCCTCTGAAAGAAAGTTACATCTAAATATATATACTGTAAATACTACTACTAGCACTAATAGATCAATAGCATCACTGTAAGTATGATATTACAAATAAAAATATAGGTGGGTATGTATTTATAAAAGAAGTTGATTTGTCAATAAAAATACACAAAGTTACTTACACCCATTCCTAAAGCACCCATTCCTGGTATGACATTTTCAAGGGCAATGGATTGTAGTACTCTTGGTGTGCCATACATTGCTCCTAAACAACTTGACATTGAAGCTACATAAAGTCCCGCTAAAAGCAAGACACTTACAGCTGAAACCTTTTCAGCTATCATGAAATTTGTTAATAAAACTTCACGGGTACATGTAGCTCCCAAAAAAAATACAAATACAAGGTACAAAAATGTTCCTGTAGTAATGGCAGCCAAAGTCCCATTGGGAATGTTTGTTGAAGGTACTCTCAAATCTCCACTCATGTTAATACCCGCAAGCACACCAGTTATTGTGGGAAAGAAAACACCAAACACTGTAAACCAACTATATCCATTCTTATAGTCAGACCAAACATTGCGACCTAAATTTCCTGTTAGCCAACCTTCGAATCCGTTTTCTAAATTAAAAAATTGTTTTACTACTGTTCATATGTTTAAAACTTTTATAATCTTTTTTTTATTACCAAAACATATTATTTAGGAAATTTGATTTAAAACTAATTAAAATAGTTAATATATGTATATCTCAAAAAAAATTAATTTCAAGTTATAAGCATAATTGTTTTTATTTATTAACCTGGATCAGTATGAACAAAGCTTCCAACCATGAAGTCTAAGCCAGCCAAAAGAAGAATAAGCAACAAAACAAACTGCAACTTAATAACCCACTTGACACCAGCAATATTAATAATGCCTAGGAATAAAACAGCTGCACTTGCAATACCCCTGGTAGCCCAAGTAGAATTTTCTAATCCTATTAAACCTGCCATTGATTCCCCAAATCCAAGAACATTTAGTGCACAACCAACTGCCTATAAATTATGAATATTTGTTTGTTTATTAATAATTGTGTACAAAACTTACTTGACCAAAGCAATACAAAAGACCAAGTGATCCACCAAATCTTGAACCCAAAACATGGGCAATTAAGAAATATACACCACCACTTTCTACTCTACATCTTTCACAAATTCCAACAGCTGATAAAACTGATATTAAAGCTGTAAAAACTGAAAGAGAAGTATTTATATCAAAAGAATAAAAAAAAATAGATAAAATTTACCAGATGATAGGACTATAAGAACAGCACTAATTACACCTGCTTGTCCAACAATCCATCCGGACCTGAGAAATACAATTACACCAAAAATATTAATCATGCAAGATGTAAACACACCATCCCACGTTCCAAATAGGACTGGCTGGGAAATAAAAAAGTTTGATTTCCACCATGGTACATCCCCCTGCAAATAATAATTTTATATAATTAATTTAAATATACTTTCTGTTAGTTCATACATAAACAAAGTAGTGGCATTTACTATACGATAAAAATAAAACTAATTAAGGAACACACTTGCTCCTCTGCAAATAACTCATTTGCTCCAGATGCTTGGTGTCCCCCGATGCCATAATCATTTGAACTGCTTAAATCAACAAAACCAGTTGTATTGCTCCTTGCACGAGCTGAACTTTCTGCCCCTAATCCATAACGTGACCAATCTAAATCACTTCTATTTCTATTTTCAGAGCTACTTGCTTCCATTTGATATAGTCTGCTTTGCAATATTTAGTACCTATTTAAAACATCTGAAGCAGAATACATGCTTAAACCTTATGAGATGTTATTAATTGATAACGTATCTAAAAATATCAGTAATTTTATCAGCATAAAATTTGATATTTTCTTATTCAATCTTCGATAACAACACTTACTGACTTAAAACATTTGAAATATGATTATGAATATGACCAACTAATAGCGGTAACAGCACTACACAATAATAACAGTCCATCTTTCACACACTACCAAGCTTATTACATACTTTACATTGTAGTATAAAGTTTATAACAATCTTATTTTAATTAACGTATTTCAACTTTTTAATTCAATAATTATTTTAGAATATTTATAAAGCAAATATGTCATCAGGTCATCACTACTGGATGCAACCAAGCAAGTGAATCATATATAAGAAGTGAATCACTGATGAATAATTGCAACATGCGTTCAACATCATTGCAACCTATTAATATGATTGCAACAAGTTATCAATCATACATACAAAATTACTTATTAGAATGAAACAGAATAAAATGGAAAAATGAAACAAACTTTAATAATTAATTTTGTACTTTATTTGGAAAAAATAACAACATACCCATAATGACTAGATATTAATTTTAGTGTACGAAAAATTACGGAAAAATAAAAAAAAAGAATCTGACCAACCCCAATGTAAAAGTCAACAAATGAATTATGTACGAATGAGTGGAAAAACCTAATCTAAATTCGTGAGTGTTGTCTTTTCCTATCGTAGTCCCATTATCATAATTAATTAATTTCGAACAAATATTAAACAACCACGCTCACTAAATAATTACAAGATGGTCAACACCAACACCAATCTTTGTTCCAAATTGCTATTAATCTATAGGTGAAGAATGTGAGGGGTTCAAGTCCCTGGGGAAAATTTCGGGAATGTCCTTAATGAAGTCTCACACTAGATTAAAATACGTCATTTTTTTAACAGAGTTCCACAGGATACAATAAATTTAGGTTTCTATTTTCCCAACACATTTAGGTAATTGTTGGTAATGGATAACATTTCAGCTCTGTCTGAATGCGTTTAGAAATTTTTTATTTCCAGGGGGATATTTCTGAACGCACCCTCGATTTAATTTGTCTATGATTATACCCAATGCATAAGATCATACCCTTCTTACCCAACATAACCTTGTCTATGGAACATAACCATAAATATCTATGACTAGATGTATGACCATAAATAAGTGACATTTTATTCTTTTAATATATTTTAATATTTGAGTAAAAAAAACATTAAAAAGAATCCCTTTAGTCTATTGTTTTTGATGTCAAAGAATGTTTATTCAAATTAAAGCGTACTAATAAAAGTTTTCGGCATTTCTTAAAACATATTCGTAATTAATATACAAAAGGAAAGAAACAATTGCTCAATTTAGTTTTAAATTGTTGTCTCCAATTAGAGAATATCGTCGGTTTTGTGGGATAGAACACCAACAATATTACTTATTCCACAATGTTGGTTAAAACATTAGATGCTTTAATTGAATATGCCTCAAAAGGGGATGCATATAAGTATAACAAAAATCCAGAAATGTAAGTATTCCTTCACATTTAAAATTGTAAATAAAGTACATGAACTGATGTTTAAGGTTACGACAAACAGCAAAACTGTTGTACAAAACCAGTCAAAATGACCCATTAGATGCTGAAAGAACATTCATATTATTATACCGATTTCTTAAAGTGTATGAACAACTATTAAAAATAAGTCGTGATGAAAAGTTCGAAAAGTTAATTTTAGAAAAGGAAGTAAACACTGCTGAATTACAGTTGAATAAGTTGAAAGATGAATTAAAAGCTATGTATCATAAACAAGCAATTGCAGTTCCTAAGGGTGTTAGTCAAGATAAAAAAGAAGAGAAAATGCTACCTATGTATTTAAACAGTATGTACATATTTTTTTATTTTATTTATTCTAACAAAAACTCTTGTAGAATTGTTTGTGACCTGTGATGAAATATACCGTGCCTTGAAACAGGACAATTTGAATTTATTAGGGATTGATATTCGCAGTACAGATGATTTTAATGCCAGTCATTTGATATGTTTTAAATGTATAAACATATCAGAAGATAGTATCAATTTAGGGTAGGTATCCATAATTTTCTAACTTATTTTAAAGTTAGCTTTTACTAATGTGTTTAGCATGTCAGCCAATGTATTGACACAAAAAATTGCTAATGAGTATATGAGTTTCTGGGAAGAGAGGGATAAGTTTGATTGCGTTATAATAATTGATGCAACAATAACTGCAGATACTTATGAAGCTTCAAAAGCTCATCAATTACGTGTTATAATGACTGAGGTAAAATGCTGTGTCTTTATTAAACTAAGTAATAACTTAGTTATTTTATTTTAGTGGGATCCTGCAAGAAGATATAAAATTGGTCCTGTGATATTAGAGGGTGGTTATAGAGAATTTGCAGATAGATACCCAACCTATTGTAAAGATGTTCACCTTTTGTTGAACCAATACAATGATGATCTTGAGGATATACTTGATTTAGAAAGTGTAGATTATCCTACTGAAAACGATATCCACAGGATGAAACAAGAACGAGCAGGGACAGAAGATGAAATTTCTCCTGAAACTATAAAAATTATTATTGAGGAAAATAAGAAGGTTTTGGAAAAAAATAGACAATTGCAGGAACAGTTACTTATTGCTGAAAAGAATTTAGCTAATTTGGATAGGAAACTGGAGATAGAAAATAATAAAAATAATGTTACTAACATACTTAATCAAAAGATGGAAGAAGAAGATAAATTAAAGGCACTATACAACTTGGAAGTTAAATTAAAGAAAGAACGGGATCATTTAGTTAACCCATTTACTTTAAATAAAACAATACCTAATGAGAATCTTGAAGAAATTACCAAACTTGAAAAAGATGTTGATAAACACATGGAAATGAGGTCAAAAGTGTATGAAGAAGAGAGGAGACGACGATTGCAACAAGTGCGTCAGGCACCTAAACCAGACCTTATAAGTTCTAATAAAATGATTGATAGTAATAAAATAACTTTCACAAAATCTAAACCCCTTATTGATAGAAGTACCAAACCCTTAACTTGGTGGAAAGGCACTCAAAATTTAATTCCTGAAGGATCTCCGGAAAAGGTACTTTTTATATTTACTTTCCGAAAAAAAAATGCTGTGGTTTCAGTTAATTAGTTCAACAATTGTACAAGTGAAGTTAATGTAATTAGCATTTGCTTGGTAGTAGCAGTAGTAATGTTACTGTAATTTTTAGATGTTTTAATGGAAAAAGAACTAGGGGTGAGTTTGTATATTTAGAGTGAAAATTGTCTAAAAAGAGTTTGTTGCAAGGGCAGCTACTGTTTTGCGGTAAAATGCCCCTCATACTGATGGTTGTAAAACAAAAGCTTTTTTAAAAAATTTTATGTTAAGAACAAATATAACAATGGCCTATTTGTTTTATATTGCAGCCATATGGTTTAGTGGGGTTGAAGAACATTCGAAATACATGTTATATGAGTACAGCTATTCAATGTTTGAGGCACCTTGATGTAATAATAAAGTATATATTGGAGGGTCTTTTTAAAGAAGATTTACATGATAATCCCGTTATTATGCCCCAGTTTGCCACTTTAGTCTTGGAAATGTGGTATAAAACAGGGGTTTGTATGGAGCCTTATGAATTTTATAATACATTTAAGAAACATGCTCCCATATATGGCCAAGGAAGGCATGAAGACATTTCTGAATTTATTTTACTTCTTATTAATTATTTGCATGAAGATATTTCATTTGAGCTGAATATGAAAGATTACAATACTTCTATAAAGAGGGCTTGGTATGAAAGCCAAGGAGGCACTTCTTCTTACATTATTGAAGCTTTTTATCATGAAATGCAAGTTAATCAACCATGCCAAAATTGTGGAGATGTTGGATATAAATATGAGGTTGATAATGTATTCTACTTAGAAGTTCCTTCAAGGGAGTTTACCATAGAAGAACAACTGAAGCAACAGCTAGCTCCCCAGTTTGTTGATGGATATGTTTGTAAGAAATGCCAAAGTCCCAAAGTAAAAGTAGTAAAAAGTATTTGTCACAATCCAGCTGTGGCCATTTTTGTATTAAAAAGGTACATTTAAGGCTGTTTACTTCTTATATATTGAATTTAAAAATTAAGATCTTTGAGAAAAGTATTTATAATTGACATTTAAAAGCATGTTGATTGCGATCACGTAAAATACTATGCACATGTAACAAACCACAAGTCGCCGCTGAAAAGAACAGAATTTACTAGCTTTATAAAATACTTGTGATGCTTTTTTGTTATTTAGATTGAAAAAAATATACACAATTATGTTATATATGAACTTATAGCAACTAATTATTTTGTATTTAAAATTTAAAAGGTGGTTTGGAAATGGAGACAACACTAGTGTTAATCATGCTCGATGTAACATCACAGTGGATAATTTAGTTGTTGGAAAAGCAAGATATAATTTGACTGCAATTGCTTTACATACGGGATCTGTAAATAGCGGACACTATACAGCTGTTTGTCAGAATCCAGTTAATAAGAGGTAATTTTAGCAGAAGATAATGAAATAATTTTAAAATTAATCTATNTTTCAATACACTGCTTTATATTTGATTCGCTCAAACCAGAGTTAAAACCATGAACTATGTTTTCATTGTTTTCTTTGACATTATTTATACTGCATGTGGAAAGTGGTTGTTGAGAAAACTTTTTACTACTTGAGTGCCAGTTATCAACGTTATCTGTTACACTATCTGCTGTTGTAGTATACTTTCGTTTTTTAGCATTTTCGCTAACAGGGGTTGTTCTCGTTGCAGTAAACTTTGATAAGGTACTATCCATGATTACCGAAATATTTTGTAAACAATAAAAATAAAAATCAAGAAATAATTTACCAGTGATAAACGTCTAGATCAATATGTTGTTAAATAATAAACCTTATCTAAAGCACTCCATAACCTTCTCAGATGAAACTAATGCTATTATGCATTCTTTGTATTCTTCATATCAATTTCTGTAAATTAAAATAGTTTAATGATTTTACTTTACGATTAATCAAATTTTGTAATACGTTTTACTTACGCAGCAAATCACAACAGTGATGAACGCAGACTGATACAATATCTATATCTATGGTTACGATATTAATTATGATAGATTATGGTCACATTATGGTACCGATTATAAATTAGAGTTAAATTACTACAGTATGTATATTTCAAATCTATAATGTTGGGGTGCGTTCTGAAATGTCGCCGTGGAAAATTAAATTTGAATCATGCACTTAAATTTTGAATGAAATATCCTTCTGCACATAACAAGTAATTTTTACCGAACTCACCGAGCACGGTAATTTTAGACTTCCACGGGAAATAATTACTACAGTTTCTAAACGTATTTTGTAATCGTCGGCCATTTTACGGATAACTTTTCTGGTTTTTCTGAACGGGTACAGGGAACTTTTACTTCCGCGGGGACATTTCTGAACGCACCCCTGATCATGCTTGTCCAATCACATGTAAATTCCTTAATTTTACATTATTATCTATGACCTTAGCTTTGTATATTTATATAACCTTAATTATTTTTAATTCCATTAATACGAAGGAATTTAAAGACATGTTGCTTAAATATAGATTTGTTCATTTGTAAAAACTTCTGTGGCCTTCAGCTTTACTTTTAACATTTTATTAATACATTCTCTACTACTGTGAGACTAAATTATGTAAATGTGAATATATAGTTATAGTGAATAGTGTAGTCCTCATAGATAGTAGTTCTCAGTAGTCCTCATTCCTTCAGAAATACTCCAGAACGTAACAGTACTTGTAACAAGCGTGAAATAATTTTTCCCCTGAAATCATATCGAGTGGCACCATCATAAAGTCATAAAGGTCAAGGACAACATTAATTAAAGGTAATTAGACCTTTGTGAAAGAGAAAATCATTTATTTGTTTATTTACGTATTAATGTGAACTGCTTCTACACTTACAAAAAATTTTACAAAAATTAAACGATATTAAGCAATTGTATGTGTAACTAAAGTTGTAAAATTTAATTTGACAAACTAATAAATTCATTTTAAAATACATAATTGGAAATATATCAACAAATTAGAATTCATTTGTATGTTATTTTGCTAGATTTAGTTACGATTTTGAAATTGAACAAGAATTTTGGTCTGTTGATTGATTAATGATTAACATTTTGATTTTAGTATTATTATCAGAAGTTTAGGAAAAGATGAAAACGAAATTTTCGCATAATTTAGAAAATCACATGTAAGGCATTTAAAACTTATTTAATTGACAGTAGTTTTGCATATTAAAATAACAACAAAATCTTATTTTTATAATTTCCTTTGCTGGTTACAAAAACTAAAAATTAACGATACACAATTTGTTAACAGTGGTTTTATAAGCTAATGATTGTATAATAAACGTGCTAATTTGCGTAATAAACCTCTCCTGGCCCCATTTAACATTAATTACGTTTACAATTAAAAGACTTATTTGCCACTTGGCTATTAACTTTTTATTATATTTAGTTGCACTAAGGTAATTTAATTTCTTAATGAATTACTCAGTGAATTTTGCAAAAACTAATAATAATAGGAAGACCCTTTTAGTTTTAAATGTTTTAAATCAAAATTTCTGCTTTAATGAANTACAAACATCCTCTAAATCTGTTTTCAAAATTCAAAGATTCTAACAAAACCCTAATTATTCAGCCTCAAATAAACTAAGAATATATTACAATTAACATTAGATGAGTGAACAGGCAAAACGCCAAAACAGACCTATGCTGGAGCACGAGGCCAACACGCTCATTCCCATAAAAAAAAATTAAAGCAACGCTAATTGAAACCAATCAAATGCTAAATTGAAACGCATTCCACTCAATCAAATGAAATTTGAATAGTTTTAGGGCTAAATACCTTCAGGTGTCGTTTCTATTTATGAATAGCAAAAATGGTGACGTCCTCCTTTCAGAAACCGAAGACAAAATGATGATCGTAAATAATGAAGACGAAACGAGCCGGAAGCCCATAGATGAAAACTTCTTCTATACCTATAATCCATTGATAATTGATTTGATAGGTGCGTTCAATTATACTAACTCAGTTTAATTCGTAAATTAATAGAAACTGATACACCATTACAGAAAATTATCCCAATAAAACTGCAAAACTTAGTGTATTTTAACTACTTGTATCAATTTCTAAAAATTAATACAGTCTTTCGAAGCAAATTAATTAAAAATAATATTAATGTGGACACTTCGTTAACATATGAATGGCGTATTCATGGGTGTATTTAAATCACGAATTTAACACATAATAATGTTTTGCATTAGGCAAAGCATCTTGCGTTACGGGTAAGTTAATATTCAGGGTAGGCCAGTACATGAGTTAGAACTATTTTCAAATCACGAAAGTACTAACAGTACTTTCGAATTGCTATTANTTATACTAACTCAGTTTAATTCGTAAATTAATAGAAACTGATACACCATTACAGAAAATTATCCCAATAAAACTGCAAAACTTAGTGTATTTTAACTACTTGTATCAATTTCTAAAAATTAATACAGTCTTTCGAAGTAAATTAATTAAAAATAATATTAATGTGGACACTTCGTTAACATATGAATGGCGTATTCATGGGTGTATTTAAATCACGAATTTAACACATAATAAGTTTTGTATTAGGCAAAGCATTTTGCGTTACGGGTAAGTTAATATTCAGGGTAGGCCAGTACATGAGTTAGAACTATTTTCAAAGCAGTTTTNCATTGTAGATATTATTTCAGTACCATCACAAACTGAACTTTAATTCTCTCCCATTTGTCAGATGATCTGTAGAGATGGGCAAAAAAAAAGTATTAGTTTTACTATCAACTAAAGAAGGAAAGTTTCAATTAAGTAAAATATGTAATATAATTAAAAACATGCACAAAAATGAAAGCAAAACAGCTTATTATAAAATGGCGACGAGATGTCAATTTTATTCATGTCATAGATTAATGTTAAAGGCTATAGAAATAACCGTAGATGTACGATGTCAATTTATACAGTGCATAATAATAATAATAACAACAAATGTACGCATTTCTACAAAATTTCACTGTTTAATTCATAAAATTGTAAATTAATTTGAAAGTTAATCCAACTATTAAACTTTGTTCTTAACGAATGAATTCAGTATTCCATTCAGAAAGTTTATCTTCACACACACTTAAATAGAAACAGTTATTTCTCGGTGACCGACTGATACGATTAGAAAAATTGAACCAAGACGAACAAACATCACTTGAAGGACTATTAAAATGAAACACAACGTTATCAATTCATGTTACAAAAAAAAAACACATTTTAGAATATGTATTCATTTGTACAAAATTTTCACTATTTAATTCATCAAATTGTAAATTAATTTTTAAATTTAATCCGACGTAATGTAAACACGTACATATTGTAAATACCCACAAATCGGGACTGGGGTTGATAAGAAATATAAAAAGGTTCTCGACCGATGTAGGCTATCCGGTCATAGTAAAAATTAAAATTTTATTTTCAGAAAAATTGGGTTTTTTCGTGACATCATATTGCATGTTTTTGTAACGTTAAAACAGTTAAAGGTTAAGGCCTAGTAGGCACTAAAAGGGCTCGAATGGACTCTTGCTTTGGAAGTACTTTAAAAAAAATAAAAGTCCGTGTTTTCAAATTGCATGCCAGTAAAAAGAAAGGATGTTTTAGCTAGAAAATCCTTGCGAAAAAATAGCAACCACCTTTTGTTGGCATAAAGATGGGAAATTTTCATTTTCATATGGAATAATTCAAAATCACAGCTAATTTTTCCATTCTTGTGCCAACGAAAGGGGCATGCGATTTTTTTACGAGGGTTTGTTTTATCACTAAAACTCCCTATCTTTTAATTGGCATGCAATTTTTTACATTACATTTCTTTTGAATCAATAGCTATTTCTGATTAAGAATCGTCTATCTCCTTTACTATTGTTAGTTTATTAACATTTTTATACATTTATAACAATTTTCCCAAAAAAATCTAACAGTTTTTTGTCCGCATTTTTAACTATAAACATCTTTATCAGAAATCATATAAAAAAATGTAATGTACAGGATACGAGGTAAAAATGCCCACATTAGAGAAATATACAAAACAAAGTGAAAAACATTCATTTACATCAACACTGTTGTGTTGTAAAATCATAATTACTTTCATAGACTGCTGATGTATTAAATACATTTAGATTATTTTATTAAAATCCGAAAATTTAGTTGCTTACAAATTCCGACTCACACTGTAACATTTCTATCTTTAATTAGACTACAGCGCACTCATTTTATTTCCCGCGAAGGCATTATGATAATTTAAATTCAATTCTTTTAAACACTGCTCATAATTGCTAGTCCTTCATATATGCAACCCACTGTACTGCAGAGTATTCTCATCGTCAGACAGCAGTAAGAGTTATACTTCTTTCAGTAGTCTCCGTTTTCAGAAAAAGGGTTTAAAATATTCATTAGTAAATTTTAGCCACAATTTTATATGTGTGTACCCCATTAATTTATCGAGAAATAAAAAGCGATGTCTTTAAATTAAAGTTTGAAAGTGCACCCCGGTAATTTCAACTACAAACTCCTTTTAAGTAATACTCTAC